TAGCCAACTGAGCCACCCAGGTGCCCCACCATGGTGGAAAGATAAATGGACAGCTCTTCAGAGAACCAACAATATTCAGTCAGGGTAAAACCATGAACAATAAAAGAATAAGCATACACGCGCGCACACACACACACACACACACACACACACACACACACAAGCTGAGCTTCCAGAAACTTCTGATCTTCCAAAAACCAAAGGTAACACTGGGGCCTTTGAGGTTCAGGCATTCTACACAAGACTGTTGAGGTCAGGAAAGAGCCATCAAGGAAATGTTCAATGGAACCATGATCAACATGAACAGCAATACACCTTCTTTGCCAAATGGATCTGGCATAGAATCTGAGCCTTGCCTGAGTAATCCAGCTGTCATAAAGCTGACCTTTCAATGCGTTCTTAGTTCCATTGTGGAATTAGCCATCATTTTTGCTTGTCATACACGGTATTAAGTTTTATTTACAAGATTTATAGACATTGATATAACCTTGTAATTAACTCCACCATGAAAGAACAGCATGCCATGGAAATAGTATGAGTTCAATCAATTCTTTTTTCTGATAGTCTGCTATTTTTATCCTTAGTTTGAAAAGCCTTGATTTTCTATTTCTGTTTTTTTTTTTTACTAGTTTATGTGTCTTGTTTTACACTCCATGAATCAAGGCAAAGTCAAATAAACCAAGGGAAAAAGATGGTCAGATAGATGGACAGATGTATCCTGCTTGGTAAATGGTTGATTTATGCACTGGACTATAGGAAACACCAACCTACAGTTAAAGAATGTCCGAATGTATGTTCCTCTATGAACACACACATATATGCGCAAATAAATTACATATACTGTCTGTAGGAATACTTACATAGCATGCTTACATAACAACTGAGTTAACAAAAGCCAGTATTCATTATGTGCTTGCAGTCTTCAGCATTTAACGCAAAGGTACTCTATATGGCATTATTTTAATCCATCCACATAGCAATGTATAAAATAGTTGTTATTGTATTATCTCCATTTTAGCTTAAAATGAAACAAGAGACATACCAAGGATAAGTAACTTGCCCTACATTACGAAGGTGGTGAATCTCCAAGCCAGGATTTGAACTTGGCTTCTCTGATTCTCTATGTACACTACAGGATATGTGCAAAATTATTCATTGGTTTATGGGGAGGTAATAGTAAGACTTATTCAGGTCTTTAAAATGTGAAAAAATTAGTCTTTACTAGGACTTAACGTGCTGGCTGATGCTGGAACTTCTCATACCCTGGTGTGTGTGTGGGATATATCATGTTATGACCTGCAAAGAGGGTGTCTTGAGGGGACAGTGGGAGTCCTAAAATGCAGACTCTTAGAGAGTCTCTGTTGAGCAAGGTTCAAAACAATCCAGTTTGTTTCTTACAAAATAAAACAAAAATTCTGTAATAACGTTTGAAAGCCTCTTTTCATCTAATATGAGGAACACTTATAATCTGAGTTCACAGTTAAAAAAAAGGCTGAAATAATACATGACAATATTGTGACAAACTGAATTGTAGTTTGTAATAAGCACTTTTGAAGATATGTATTAAAACATTGTTGAAGACATAAAGAAACAAGTACTGAAATGAATTATACAGCATAGGAAGTTTACTACACAGTTGAAAGTCATTATGGTTGTTTGTAACTTGTCTCAGCTTTTGGTTACTTGCTACTTCTCTTTTTTCCTGGTTTCCAAAGCTCATTAAAAGTCAAAGAATAGGAAAACTTTACATAAAAATAGGTTAATTTTAGCTTCCACATTATTGTCCGTGCACACAAAAAAATTGAAAGACAATATCGTTTAGTTCAACCTGTAATGTGTGACCACACTGGTGGCCCAGTCAAATTCATTCAGTTCACTGTTATGGGGGTGGGGCGTGGTGCCCAAGTCTGTGAATCCAGCTTTAAAACTCACATCCCACACAGGACGCTAGCCCTCCAGTGGTTCCTTATTGTAGGTAACAGTCAATATTGCTAACGTGTGGAGATTAGTACAGGCCTATGTATCAGTTTTTATAAATATCTCGTTATCAATAGGTTTGCAATTCAAATATCTTTAGATATTTTTGATAACTTTCAATCATCAAGAACTGCAGACAATGTGTATTACTCTATTCTGGATACATTGTCTTTTTTTTTTTTTTTAATTTTTTTTTAACGTTTATTTATTTTTGAGACAGAGAGAGACAGAGCATGAACAGGGGAGGAGCAGAGAGAGAGGGAGACACAGAATCTGAAACAGGCTCCAGGCTCTGAGCTGTCAGCACAGAGCCCGACGCGGGGCTCGATCTCACGGACCGTGAGATCATGACCTGAGCCGAAGTTGGACGCTTAACCGACTGAGCCACCCAGGCGCCCCTGTCTTTTAATAACAAAATCCACAAATATGTAGCTTTCTCCTTCTTGCTGTTAAACATTAAAAGAGGTGTTAGGGAAGGTAAGTTCTTGGTAGTGAGTGGCATTTAAAAAAAGAAAAGCAAGGTTTTAAGGAGAATTATGTTTAAATAACAGGTGATGAGGTAGATACACTCACAAAAATTATTTAAAAGGGTTCCAAAGAAAAAATCCAAAGTAGCAAGAATTACGAGAAAAGCCTAGAACAACTTGTCATGCTAGAAAGCCTGGCTAATGTGTACGAGGGGAGTGATTGCACATTTTTTTTTTTTATTTTGTATGTTTGAAATTTCCTACAATTAAAATGCTTTAAAATTTAAAGCTACATGAGAAGTAAACTAACTTTTAGAAGTGCCTTGAGTATGAAGAGAAAACATGAAAATGGATATTCCATGCTACATGGTTTTGTGAAGGAAGAGAGTTTATCAGTACAAAATTATCCCGTGAAAAATAGAATCTTTCAATCTGAAAATAAATATTTCACTAACTTTTGAATGCTTTTGTTAAAAATATAAAAGTACAAAACCTTTCAGTGAGTTTTCCTTAATATACTGATACATGCATTATGTGAATCTTAATTAATAAACATTGCATTATTGGCAAATACAGTCAAAAAATGAGTATCATAATTTACAAAGTCAACAATGCAATCAGCTTCTTCTATTTGGAAATGTGAAATACTTTTGAGTTATATTTTTCAGCTTTGATCAAAAAAACATTTAAACTAAGTACCGAAATAAGTTAAACTTAAAATCTGACCACTGAATCAAGCTATCACAATTTCAAACCACAATTTTCAAAATCAGTGAAGCATATTTACTCACATTGCAATGATTTTATACACACACACACACACACACACACACACACACACACACACACATATATATGAATGAGGTATAGACCCCTATCTCATTCCATATATAAAAAATAATTCAAAATGTTATCAATGGCCTAAGCATTAAAGCTAAGCTATTAGAAGAAAACATGGGAGTCATTCTTCAGGACCTTGGTTTTGACAATGGATTCCTACCTTTGACACCAAAAGCACAAACAACAAAAGAAAAAATAGATAAAATGGATTTCTTCAAAATTAAAAACTTTTATGTATTGAAGGATATTATCATGAAAGTAAAAATACAACCCACAGAATAGGAAAAATTTTTGCAAGTTGTATATCTGATAAATGTCTATTATCCAGAACACATAAAGAACTCTTACCAGTCAGCAACAAGACAAACAACCCAATCAAAAAATGGGCTTGGATATTCTCCAAACAGAAACACAAATGGTCAACAAGCATACAAGAAAATATTCAACATCATCAGTCATTAAAGAAATGCAAGTCAAAACCACAATGAGGTACCACTCCAAATTTAATAGTATGGCTATTAAAAACAAAACAGGAAAATAACAACTGTGGGAGAGGATGTAAAGAAACAAAAACCTTTATAAGTTACTGGTAGGAATGCAAAATGGTGCAGCAGCTATGGAAGATAGTTTGGTAGTTCTTCAAAAGATTAAATATAGAATTAGCATATGACCTAGCAATTGCACTCCTGGGTATACATCCAAGAGAAATGAAAACATATATGCACACAGGAACAAATACACAAATGTTTTTGGCAGCATTATTCAGAATAGCCAAAAGGTGAAAACAACACAAATGTCCATCAGCAAAGAAATGGATAAACAGATTGTGGTATGTCCATATAATGGAATATTAATCAGTCATAAAAAGGAATGAAGATACATGCCACAAATTGGATGAACTTCAAAAACATTATGGTAAGTGAAACAAGGAAGACACAAAAGGTTACATATTGCATGATTCCTTTTATATGAAGTATCTAGAATTGGTAAATCCACAGAGGAAGATAGTGGTTGCCAAGAGACAGAGGTGAGGGGAAATTGGGAACGCTTACTTAATGAATGCGGGGTATTTTCCTGGGATAATGAAAAAATTTTGAAACTAGAGATGGGTGATAGTCATCACATCACATTGTGAAAACATGAAATGCCACTGAACTGGACACTTGAAAATAGTTAACTGTATGTTATGTGAATTTCACCTCAATAAAAAAAAATACATGTAACAACAGTAATATAAGTAAAGAATGTTCTTCAATGTTGAAAGATAAAAAAACTGAAAATATTAAATATTTCAGCTTTATCTCATTCTTCAAAATCCTTCAAAATATATGTTCTTTCATATATATGCGTATGTGTTCAAAATTTTTAGCAATAAGGGTATACAATTTGAAAACGTGGATAGGGCTGCTCTAGATCCATGGTAATCTGTCACTTGTAGGGTGAATCCATAGACATACTTTGTGCACCTCGGCTGAATAATATTTTATCTTCCATACTTTTATGCAGGTGATGCATTTTCAACATAACTCCTGCATACCTTCGTATTTTATATTTTTGTGATGCAAACAATGTTTCTTGCTCAGCAGGGATCAAATAGATATTTGAATTTTCAACCCCTCGGCGGGGGATTGAGTATCCCTAAGATAGTCTTGCATCAATAGTTCTTCCGTTATTAATTAGCATTAAAAATGGAGAAGAAAAAAGTACTAGACTTACCCACACACGGCAGAGAGTAGCCCAGCTGAGGGTCATGGGTAAACTGCCTGTCGTTAAGTCTTGTCACACAGTATAAGTAGAAACAGTCTAAGCAAATCACGTGACGATGGTTGCACTGGAAAACCAGCACAGGGCTCCTGCACAGAAAAATAAAAAAAGAAAAGGAAAACATTTCCTCTAGTACTTCTAAGAGTCGAAAGGCAACATGTGCTTTGGGACACTTTGTAACCCTATCAGCTTGCTTAGAAAATGCTCTGTGTAGACACCTGCACTGCTCACCATTGAGCACATATGTGTCAAAGCTGCGCCTTAAAAATTGGAAACATTTCATTAACTATACATAACATTGATTTTCCTAAATTTATATTTTTATATTAACATATTTACCAAACTGTTGTTTAAATCTGAGCTCAGATATAACCTCTTTCTAGATCATCTTCTAGAAGCCTCATAATTCCCAATTCACCCATGAATCACCCCATTTATACATTTTTTTATTGATACAAAATTACATCATACTATTGATATGCTTCTCTACCGACTGTGATCTCCTTGAAAGTAGATACTGTGCTTAATTTAAATTGATATTCTCATAGTACCAGGCACCGTGAGGTTTAAATAAACGTTCCTTGAATTGTATGTTAATGATATATAAAATCTGAACTTCCCAAAAGCCAAAAGAAAAATGACCATGGTGCCAAAGTAGGTATGCTAAACAATCACTCATATTTCATTGGCAAGCAGAAAAGTAGAATTTCAAAATAAAAATTATCTAGCACAGATTCTTTTCTAAAAGATTTAGTCTATCATGCCATCCCTACTCCACCCAAACAGCCAATTTATTAAATCAAGGTTAGGAGCTTACTAATAAATTGATATATGAGTTCTAAAATCTTTGGATTCCCTTAAAATGCTTTATAGGGGAAAAATGCCCCAAATAAGCATGTATTTTTGCTAACAAAATGAACCACATTATGTTATAACCAAAAGAAAAAAAAAGAGAGAGAGAGAGAGAGAGAGAGACAAATTGAATTAATTTCACATCAGCCCCAAGGCCATTTTAATAGTAAAAAAACAAAAACAACAACAAAAAAAACAACACTGGAGTTTATCTAGATAAGCCTATTCTCTGTGTAATGACAACAAAATACAAAATATTTTTTTTTATTTCATACACAATTCTTTTTTTTTTTTCAACGTTTTTTATTTATTTTTGGGACAGAGAGAGACAGAGCATGAACGGGGGAGGGGCAGAGAGAGAGGGAGACACAGAATCGGAAACAGGCTCCAGGCTCTGAGCCATCAGCCCAGAGCCTGACGCGCGGCTCGAACTCACGGACCGCGAGATCGTGACCTGGCTGAAGTCGGACGCTTAACCGACTGCGCCACCCAGGCACCCCACACAATTCTTAAAAAACCTCAGAGCTCTTCAAAAGCCCTTTCCCCAGAAAAATTGATATTAAACATTAATATTAGTAACATGTAATTTTCTTAACAATTAAAAGGTTTTCAAAATTCTGCTTTCCCACTTATTTCAAAGCAATATCTAATACAAAACAAAAAAAAATAACTTGGTATTTTAATGTCATGGATCAACAGGGCAATGGTCATCATAAGCTGGGCAAGGCCGTCCCTAAATGCTTTTATGTGCTTCTATTTCTCATCTCTGAACCTACTGCAGTCCTTTTGGGGCCATCATTTCCATTTCCAGAGCCTTTTTCAATTAGGCATTGACTGTGTTCTGAACTTTCAACCTCTTCCCTTCTAATAACATTCTGCTGGAAGATGATAAAATATAATACCTTCTCATTTCTATCACGAGTCAGACATACACACATGCACAAGGGCACACACACCATATTCACTCTGTGTGACCCTATAGAACTGCCGTGTTCTATGTTCTCCTCATGGCTAAGTTCTATGAAAAGTATTCTCCATTCTGGTCTTAGCAACATGGTCGACTAAGCCTTTAGAGACGCTCAATCTGCTCTCAACACATGGAAGCACTGGAGAAAATATTAGAACATTCATAAAAATGTTCCTCTATATAACAAGGTTAAGAAAGAAAGCTTAGCAATTACCCGGTAGAAGAAATAAAAGGAAAACTTATAAAGCCAAAGCAGTAGGAACATGAACTGTTGGCATAGTGTCCCAGAGCAACATTAAGGTACGTGGTAGCCACTGGTCCAGGAAGTGAGTTCTTTTCCATCCCTATTAAGGAAAAATGGAGAGAGTTTTGTTCCATGTGTGGACAACATATTTATGGATTTGCCCTTCAGTTAAAATATGGCCCCAAACTACTTAGACTGTGTGGACAATCCACAGAACATCAGCTGTTCTACTTTACTGATGGCATCCTACCATTTGGAACAGATTGGAAAGGAATGGCGAATACATGGGAGGCCATGCTGTGAGGTAAACCCTGTGCAGATTCAAGAGCCCACCATATTAGGAAAGGTTTTAGAGGCCCAATGTTTGGGGGCACGGAGGGCACACTCAACAGACACAGTAGTGCATCTTGCCCCTGCCTCTACTACTGCAACCACACACACACACACACACACACACACACACACACACACACAGATACAGCAGTACAAGGACAATCACAGGCCCTGTGGAAACATAGGCTCTAGGGCCCACAGAGTGAAACACATCGTCTTGGGGACATAGGAGGAATCTTACTAAAAATTACAGTTCACTTCTGCCTTTTTGAATTGAGATATAGGCGGGGAGCCGAACAGACCAAACCGACAGGACTAATTGATCAGAACCATCAGGATGCAAAGGGCTGGGGAAGAGTTCATAGGGTATCTGGGGGATCCACTGGTACATTTCATGGCACTGCCCTCTGGAATTGTAGCGGCAAATGGACAAGGCAGCAGTTAAGGCAGCATTGAGAAGTGCATGGTGACCGGGACCTGAGAGACCTTAGGATTTACCTGTTGAAGCAGGTAAGGTCAATAACCTTTATTATTACAAAAAATATAATAGAGTCATCAGAAAGGGCTTTAGAGAATGTTTACCTTGAATAAAAAGTATGAGAAATGAATGCAGGTAGCAGTAGTTTACCAAACAGTGAGAAGTAAAGGAAACAAGATATAAAAATGTGTTCAGCTTTGGAAGTGAGGACAGATCACTAAAGTTCATTAAGGAGAATCCCTTCCCAGGCACAGGGTGTATATATAAGTGACACCAGAACCTACACGTGTGGTTTTACATGTCCATTTTGGACAAAAAGAAAAAAAAAAGAAAGAAACTTACAAGAGTTTCAGGGAGTGACAAGTATAGAGAAGTCACTCAGGCATTCTGTCACTATCCATATGGAGTGAATATATATATATATATCTATATATATATATGATATATATAGATATATATAGATATATATATATATATAGAGAGAGAGAGAAATATAGAATATATTTATATATATTCTATATATCTATATAATGTCTATATAACATATATCTAATATATATCTATATAATATAGAGAGAGAAATATAGAATGAACATGTAGAAAAAATACATATGTTGATGAATAATGTTATAGATGTAGATAGTATATGCCCATATTCATGCAGAATTATCAGTCAGTTGGAGTTCTTGATACAGTTTTGAGGTAAGATTGTCCATCCCTTATCAATAATATTTCTAGTTATAAAAAAAGAAATTTCTAGTATCTATGAAAAAGTTAGGTGAGGAATAAGCATGCCACCCATAGAAACATTATTGGATTAATCATCTGAGTCATCTAAGAAAAGAAGTGAGGATCATTTCATGGCTGGAGGGACTACATAATTAACTTCCTAAGTATGAGGCAAAAGAGGACAGTGGGAAAAAAAAAAACACTAGTATTTATGACCACCCCCTTTGGGTTAGGTACTTGCTAGGAACTTCTCAAACGTTTTTCCATGTCCTCCTCCTATAATAATCTGCCCCCACTCTATCACACATCCTGTTCCTCTCTCTGCCTCCAGCTTTCTTCCAGGTCTTTTACTCCTGGGCTCGTGCTCTTTGTCACTCATTCTTCTAGTATAATACTAGCCTTTATATTCAAATCAAAATTCCAAACTTCAAGGTGCAGTTCAAGATAAGACCTCTAAGGAACTTTTCCTGGAGCTTAATTCTTCACTGATTTTTCTCTTTTTCTTTAACTTTTAATCCACAGGGTCTATCCTAATGTGCTTCCTACACTGTCTTCACTTTTATTCAGACTGAGTGTTTCATAAGTTGCTACTTTAGCTGTCAGCATTAAATGAAAAATCCTGAAACAGTGGGGGCTGAACTTGATTACCACCTTCATGACCCATGTCTCACCAAATACAGCAATAAGCACATGACATTATATAATCAATAGTTACTGATCATACCTGTGGCTTACTGAACAAAATGTTTTTTATTTCATAATCTCTCTGCTCCCATCCTTATATTTTTTACTCAGTTACTTACTGAGCATCTACTTTGGCTGAAGTAGACACTTAATAAACACACACCGAATACAGCAGTGAGTGGATGAAAAAACATCTCATGACTGATGGAAGCGTTGGGAAAAACACACACAACTCAGTCACAGGCCACAGTCTGGGGACATGACACACATGTGGAACAGGTATTAAAAGGATGTATGTGTGGTCATCAAACTCTGGTGCCACAGAAGTTAGGACAGCAGAGAAGTATGCGTCAGGGTTAGGAAACCTGAGCTGAATTTAAAAGAATGGGGGATCAGCACTGGGTCCCTGGAGAGAAATGTGGTTTCTGGGCAGGGCAGGAAACAGACATGGGAAAGAATTCTTGGAACAGAAAAGTTATCAGCTGGGCTGACTGAGGGGATGTATCAGGACAAGAGAAAAGAGATGAGAAGGGTTGGGGACAGGGGTAGGAGGACTTCAGGAGACTGGCCTACTGTGTGGTCTCTTGCTCATGGGATTCACTGAGGCTTGTGAGTCTCGGAAGGGAGAGATGTTTTCATATGTTTAATTCTGAGGGAACGTGTGGAGGAGAACAAGCTGGAAGTCGTGAGAACTATTTGGAGGTCATTTTAATAACACAGGCATGAGTTACTAAGGAAGCAGACTGTGGTGTGCGGGCGGTTCTAGGAATGGAAAGAAGAAGATGGACAGGAGTGATTTTTC